AAAACAGTGTCACAGCATACCCAAAGAGTGAACGATGATGAGTGGGGCGAAGCGTTCATCAGTCCATGCGTGCTTTTTAGCGTCCATCCGTTCATCCGTGCGTCCGACCACCTGTCCGTCCGTGCGTCTGAGTATCCGTCCTCGCGTCCATCCATGCGTCCATCTGTGCGTTCGTCCAATTGGCCCCACTCGCCATAATTCACTTCGTTGATATGCTGTGATTTTTTTATAGTAGCAGGCGCTCTATTGAATCATAACATTCTGGTGGAGATGCTGGTTGTTATTCCAAGCCAAATCACAAGCTCGAGAGAGTAGCCCAGACTACGGAAGATTGGGTCCGGCAGAATTAACACCTGTCCACCAACGCACGAGTCGCTGCCTATGCTGTGGGTCGCTCGAGTTTGGCCCCCACATAGGTTCCTGAAGATCTAGACCTGTGGAGACCAGAAGCACAGGCGCCAATGCTATGGCCACCTAGTTGACGCCATCATTATCTACCCTCATCATGGATTCTCCACCTTTACCAGTGGTCTTCCACGGTGACATTGTCAAAGATGCCGAGAACTGGCTCGATGAGTTCGAGCGCGTTGCCAGTTTGAATGATTGTGACGCAGCCCGCAAACTTCGTTACGATTACGTGGTCCTGCAAGATTTGGCATGCACGTGGTATTAGAATTACAAAGCGCCCCTGTGGTCGTGGGGCGACTTCCAACGAGAGGTAATCGCTACCTATCCGGACGCCGACCACAAGGAGAAGGCAGAGGGCGCTTTCAGGCGAGAACCAACGGAACAACATGAGCGTGGTCATGTACATAAAAGACATGTCACGGCTCTTCCGCCGAGCCAACTCAAAGATGGCCGAGGAGAAGAAGGTGCGGCACCTATTGTGCGGAGTAAGATAATAGATTTTTTCCAGGCCTGGTGCGCAATCTACCGTGAACGAGGGCAGAGTTCAGATCAAGGGCAATGACAATGAAAAAAAAACTGTAGCAACGTGCGCGTTTGTGCAACAGAGACTTCGGCGTCTCTTCACTTAGCGCAGTATCAACAACGCTTTCCACAAACATCGGCGTCTTGCAAAAAGTGACGGCAGCTGTCGTCAAGGACGGCCTGCAGAAGGTGCAGCTCGCCCAAGGTTCTCCAGTGATGTTCCTTCTCGTGGAAGCTGTGAGCGAAAACGTGCGGCAAGCAATTGTTTCACCGCATCCTCAGGAACTTTACAAACGACAAATTAGGGCGGAGAACCAGCCATGACCAAGAAAAAAACTTTTTCCACTATAGGCATACCGGACAGATCTGAATGAATGGTGACAAGTATCAGCGTTTCTTGCAAGAAAATATATCTTTATTTAGGAATAAAAAGACCTGCGTCGTTGATTACCGTAGACACCCTGCGGCTATTACGCTGTGCAGTTTGGGTATTCATCGTCATGGGTGCGAAATGCGAAAACAATTTTGCGCCTGTACATTAGTGCGCTGGTGTAAATAAATTCAAGAAATGAAAAATTTACACCATTCTATTAAGTTGTTTCCTTTATTCTCATTGCGCATTAGCAGATAAGGTTGGAATTACATTTCAAATAACTAATTGTTAGCGAACGCGTGGAGTCGTGTTTGATATCCCGGTCACGGAAGGTGAGATAATAGCATAAGCTGCTTTTATGGTAAACTAATGACAACACACAAGGACTTTTCATCGCTTGTACAATGCAGTCATTTCCGCAAAGGGTTGTGGGTCCGGTGTCATAATTGATCACGATAGGGTTGCTGCCATTATTGACCTGTCATCAGCTGGTACGCTCAGCAAACCCACAATCTCAGGTATGAGCGCGCCGGTGGACGATCAGTGAACGGGGCATAAGTTATATATATTGGCTCTGAACAGGTGGAGATGAAGTAGGAGTAAAAGAATCTGCTTCACATAAGAGAAAATGGAAGATTTTGTTAGTATGGCTCGCAGTTATGCATTAAGGAAGAGGAAGAAAGTTTAAGCGGAAAGACAGGCAGGTTAGCCAGTACTTAGACAGGCTGGCTACCCTGTGCTGGGGAAAGGGGTGAGGGGAACAAATATGTAAAAAAGAAATGTTGGGAAGAGAGAGAGAAATTACAAAAAAAATCGACCGAGGAAAGGCAACATCAAAGAGTATAAGATTCTAAAGTCTGTCTTTGAGGCCCGTTGTCCGCAAAAAGCGCAGCAAAGCTTGCAAAGATTTCTGGGCTGAGGATGGGCTCGGCCAATGACCCAGAATGCTTTGTTCCTACAAAGGCCGATCGTCCAGTCTATCCAGAGATGCACTGAGGTCTTGTTTTTGCGCGTTGAAATGGGTGCACTCACACAGAAGGTGCGCGATGGTTTCTTCGCAGCTGCAGTAAGTGCATGTAGGAGAGCTGGCCATTCCGATGAGATAAGAGTATGCGTTCGTGAAGGCCACTCCAAGCCACAGGTGGCATAGAAGAGTCTTCTCAGCTCGAGATATCCTTGTGTGTTGCGGCGTGCATAGCGGAAATAAAAGAGAAGCAGTCGCACTGAAAAACAAGTGAGTATGTCAATCATGTGCGCAAGTATCAAGGAATTGCTCAGTTTTCATAGCATACACACATACGTTAAACAGCCACGTATGTGTTATATTAGCAGCTCTTTACAGTTGCGTAACAATGCCAGCAGCAACCTGGATGTCAGCGACACGAGAAACGGTAAGCTGATATGAAGCGCTGGTGTCTTGCGCTGGTGCGCACGATAATGGCCACCCTGAACACTGCTACGCAAATCAACTACAGTGGATAACGCCCAACTACAATTTACGTTAACCTGAGATGACGACTGTATCATAGGAGTCTCTTTGTAATGTTTATAAAATCGGATAGCCAGTACTGGTAACACAATTGGATGGAAATACATGCTCGTGAGCACTAGCGCTTCACATCAGCTTATAGCTCCTGCTGTTGCTAATACCCATGTTGCTGTTCACCTCGATACGCAAGTGCCGACAATTGGTTATATAAACATCTTCAACTCTTCAACATGTCAGCATGTACAGCATCTGTACATTAGTTTAGCGTCGTTTCATTGATTGCCGATCTCTAAAAAATTACATGTTCACCTTTACTCCGCATGCTTCGCGCGACGTTGATTCCAAAGGTACGTGGGATTCACCGAACTATTTTGCAAAGTGTTAGACGACGTATAGTAAAGTACATCGTGCTCTTAATTATGGAACATTTGCTCAAAACATGGGACGATATGGTGACATTATTTATGTCATGACCAGCGCGCCATTATCGTCTAACCTTCTTACACTCTGTAACGTTGTGGTGCTTGTTTTTGTTTTTCACATCGTACAGGTTCAATTTGAGAGGTCCGAGGAACCACCTCAGGACAATTTCTGAAGGACGAGTCTGTTTGACGCAAACATTTAATGGCAACAGCTTCAGACCACTTAATCGAAAACATAGAGTCCCAACTCTCGCTTACAGTCACCAAGAAACACAGAAGCTGCACACTAGTCCCGAAACAAAAGGTCCCAAGCACGCAGTTCCTATACACAGAGTGGGTTGCGGAACGTTAAAGGAGCGCCATCTCACCCCCGTGAGATGCCGCACAGAGCACGGCGCTAATGTCGTCGCCCCAGTTGGTGTCGGCGTCGAAAAGTCACTCGAATCGCAGGAGAAGCAGCCTACCTAGGCTGCCGGTGGACGCTGCACAAGCTGTCGCGGCATTTCACGCACTGGCCATCGTGGTAAAGTCCCGGCCGGACAGTCTCACCTGAGCTCTAACCCGAAGATCGACAGCTCAGAGCTGTCCACGGGCTCGGGAACGTCAGCACAGCCAGGTAGTCCTGGATCCCCTCAGGTCACCGGACGATAGAGGTAGGAGCCTTGGCTCGGGTCCGAAACCCGACCGCGCTGATGCGTGGCTCGTCTTCCACCAGTCACCGCTGCGACTCTTCTTTTGCTTTTTTGCTCCCTTACGCGTAGTTTGAACCATGCTGCGTCTGCGTCGAATATGCGCTTCATCATTTCTTGTTATTCATTAACATTCGGGCCAGCTTATTCTTCCTTGCCGACTTCGACCTTAGTTCATGGCGCGCACTTCAAATTCCGCTCACCCCGTTTCAAGTTCCGCACACTCCACCCCTTTTCCATTCCACGCACTCGTTCGCACACTCCCGTACTAATTTTGGTGTACTCCAGTTTAAGAAGCGATCAGGGGAGCACCCAGACGTAGGTGTATAGATAGATAGATAGATAGATAGATAGATAGATAGATAGATAGATAGATAGATAGATAGATAGATAGATAGAGATAGAGATAGAGAGATAGAGATAGATAGATATAGAGATAGATAGATATAGATAGAGATAGATATAGAGATAGAGATAGATATAGAGATAGATAGATATAGATATAGATATAGATAGACGGAAATCAAGCACTGGCTGTTACATTTACGCCTACTTTGAAAAGGAAACCGATAGAGAGAAAGAGGGAACTGGGTTTTAGAAGGAAACAGGAGTCGACAGCTTGAATGAATGCCTGAAACTTAGCCAAGACGTCTAGAGATGCTTGGTACGCACGTGAAACGAGTGCATAGACGCGCCTTCTTCCTGTTCTACCCACTACTACCTCTCAAAGCAGCTGCTGCTTCTCAGGAAGGACGAAGAGAGTGCAACTGATACGCCAGCATGCGTAGCAGCGTTCACCGCACGTAGCCAAAATGTTTGAAATGGTGAGTTACCAGGAACTGCGGTAGGGCTTCGACGAGAAACATCCTAAAACAAAAGGCTGTTGAAAAATAAAGTGCTTTGTTGGCCGTAGCGATCAAGAGTCTCCATTATTTATGGTTTCAAAGAATCCCATTTTCAATGTCACAGTAAATTACACTGTACTTTATATCGTCAAACATTTTTATAAGCAAATTTAATACAGAGCAATTAAGTCTGTCTGTTGATGACCCTAATAAAACTCCATACAAATGAGAAATAAAGAGAAACCGCAAGCGTGTGCCGAACGTCACGACAACCATGACATTGAGCGTTTTATTATTTAGTATAGCCGTCGCACGGGGATCACCTGAAGAGATTCGCCTTTGGGTAAATGTTCTTAACGACACAGTTCTGAAAAGACAAAACAAAAAACGGAGAAAAGAGTTAGCAAACATTTACCGAGCTTCATGCACATTGAAGGGAACGACAAAGCGTAACTTTGTGATTGATGCGTCTGGTTTGCTAAAGTGAGTGTCAGGGAGCTTTAAAATTTGTCTATTAGGAGGAACTGACGAGTTCAATTTTTGTCTTTCATTTCTGAACCTTCGTCACTTTGCTGAAGGCAGGCGTGTGCGCTGTACCTTTCGTTTTTAATTTTTTTAGTTAGCACGCGTGCTTATAATTCTTGCACTTGTTGCGCGCATGAAGGGCTCGTTAGAAGCTTCGTACCTCGTGCTGGGACGAGCTAATTCTTAGCCATGGTCCTTCAACAAAGGGACCAGTCTAGAAAAAGTGGGTAATAATTTAAAGTACCAGGTACTACACTATGTGAGAGCTGAAAGCCGTCCCCTTGGCCCCACATTCCATGAGGCCGTATCGACAAAAAAAAAAGTGGGGGGGAGCGCCTAAAGAGCACAGGAACGTTTAGAAAAAGTGGTTAACGATTTTGAGTACTCGGTACTCTACTACGAGAGAGCGTAAAGCCGTCTCGATGGTAAGTGAAACACGATGAGAGTATCGAAGAACGACGCTTAAACAGCACCAAGCACGGCCTGCCAATATTTTTACTGTTCTGAACTTATTTCGGCCAGCCGAGCACCACAAAAATTCGGGCAATCTTTCAAACACTGGTGAACCGCTTTGGTTTTATATGGAGCAACGCGCGCACGTGCTGTTTTATCTGCACTGATTTTATCTGCACGTGCCCAGTTTTGTGCCTGAGCACGCACGTTTGAGTACGATCGGCGCCTTTACGCAGCTCGACAAGGTAATAATTAGGTGTGCAGTGTCAATTATTATGAAAGGCAACACGGGAGCTAGTGGCCTGCTCGCTACGGCGGCTGCTGGCAGCGCCTTCAAGCGGGAACAAAAGCAACCATGGCCTCTTGTCGCATCATTTCATGGTGAGCAATACAAGCAGCCATGATATGGAACCAGCGACAAGACTGCAACCCCCTACCCTCTTCAAGGTGATTACCCAAGAGGCCAGTAATCACCTAGAAAGGGTGCAATCTGGTCCCTGATTCCCTATCAGCAATGAATGATTGTTTTGCTTGCCGCAAGATGACGTGAAAAGAGGCTGTGGTTGCTCTCGCTTCCACTTGAACGCACTGCCAGATACCGCACGAGTGCGCAGGCAACGCGCTCCCGTGTTCCCTTTCATAAAAATTGACACTGTACACGTGTGGTAGGCGAAAGTGTCACCAAGCAATTTCTTGTGTCAAGAAATACGCCTGCCCGCGAAATTCGTGGACTGCGAAAACTTGCATACGAGGTAAAGCTTGTAGTGATCATTTGACGAATAAAAGAAAATTACATTCATGCAATAGATACGTGTGGCTTTCTAAGAAAGCAAGTCACTACAGTTGAAGATGACTTCATAGTGAATAGTGGCATTGAACCTGAAACTGTTATACCACCAGTCATTCTACGAAGTTAGGCAAACATAAGCTGTATGAAGTCAACACTCTAGAAACAAGTGGTGTATTCGATTCCTGTGTCGTGGGGTAAATTATTGCTTGGGTTGTAAGGTTCGATTTTTAAGAAAACCGTATTCAAGTCTTCGTATGTAAGTTGAGAGTTAATGTTGGTAATACAGTAACGTTTTCTTTCAAATCGGGTTCAGCAAGTCACCTTCAAAAATTTGTCAACCTTATTCTTCGAAGCAACTAGAGGCAAAACAAAATAAACACAGCGAATATTTTTTGTCTCCCGCTTATTTCGCGCATAGCTTAAAGCCTACTTTGGTTCACTATGCTTCGTCGCAACAAATTATGCATGCGTGTATGTTTTGGGAAGATTTTGCAGTATTATATCTGCATTGCCTCATTGTCGGATCTGGCTGCCATGAAAATGTTGTGCCGAATGTCACGCAAATTACGTCACTTTCGTCTAACTAAAAAAAGTTATCATGGCGAGCATTTCAACCTCTAGGCCAACGCCTCTATTTCCGGGCGTGATAACCATAACGCCACCACTGCAGACCTCCGCGTTGCACAAGATGTGACATTGATGAATGGCTTTTGAACGTGGTTCGGTGCTGCATGGCCGTGCGATTCACTAGGCGCCGCTGCAGCTCGCCGTGCTCGCACCGCAACCTGTCGTTCTGCATTTCGCGATGTCGGAGTTGCAACGTGTGCTAGCTGCGCTCTCAGTGTGAGGTAATGGGGTCACCTTCGCACGTTCTAAATTTATGTAAGTGTCTCCATAGTATCGTAGTAGGCACAAGCACCGAGTGCCACTCTTGGTTCTCTTCCAAGCATATTCGTTCTTGGGTATACTTACAGTATGCCTAGTAGAAAAAGTATAAAAATCGGAAAGAGTGGTTACCTTTTAACTTAGACTCACACGCACCCATAGAGTACAAATGATATAGCGTTGCTTTATAAACGGTAAGAGACAGGTAACTGTCTGTATAAGTAAAGGTAATTGAAAAAAAGTATCTTGAAATAGTGCGGGCAACTGCGATCGTTGCGGCTCCTGGTGTAGCTGATCTAACCCATGTGTTTCTTTCTAAGTGGCCTCCATGATCGGTTTTGCCAGCGCAACGAAACACGGCTGTTAATCTGAGGCTCAGGAGTACACAAGCGTAGATAGACGAGTGCTGATGTGCCAAGGTGTCGACCACCACACACCTATAGTACTTCTGTCACACTGGCACATGTGATCGCTATCAAGATAGATCCGGGTCGTATTTTTCAGTTTCCATCAACAATCACCGCTGCTACACTGCTCAAACTAATCTCGATCAAGTTCGACGCAGACGTCAAATCGCGATCTGGGAACCAGATCTCGATGCACAGATCGCTATCGTCTTGGTCCCGATTCGGTTTAATGACGATCAAAGTGACCGAATCACGCTAGTATAAATCAAGGATTATTGTGACCTCCAGATTTGTTTTGGTATGTTCAACCATACCTGATGAATCCGCAACAAAAACTACGTGAAATGATTCACTATTTACCTCTTCAATGGTAGTTGACGGTAGTGGTGGCTTGCTATGCAATTTCAGGCATTTAAATGTCCACAGGATATGCCGAGACATAGGAAAGTGTTCGTATTTCATCAGTGTAACCAGTTTAACGATGAAAAATTTTGCGCTAAAACATACAAAACCCGACGATAAAGATGCTCCTGTATGTATCTGGTTTTATGACACACGTTTTATTGCTCATCCTTTGAGCAGTTAACTAGTACGTTTAAACTTGGTCTCGCTTGTGGGTATATGACCTTCTCTGATGCTAGCAGGACATGGAGGTAAGAAGAGCGAATGATCCCTCTTTGCGCTAGAGCGATTATTTATTTTAGGGGCGAAGATCCTCTTAGTCTAACCTCTCCATGCGCAACGCGTAACTGAGAGAAGAGACGAGAAATAAAAGATGGCAGTATCTCCCGAACAGCAAAATAGACGGCGCTGTGCATAAAAACTACAGTTGAGTGAGGATATTCTTGATGGCGCTGTACCGCTACTCTTCGATTGGCTGCTGCACGGGCTGTGCCAGGGTACGCGGAGAACGAGTGTCTCTCTCAGTCTTCTGGATGGTCGCCGTACGTGGCGGATCGTTGGTCGGGCATGGACGAAGCAGAGCGGCGGGAGTGGTGAAGACGCTTGCACTCAGCTTCTTTGGCTCTCAGCCTCGACGGTGTTACCCGCACTCCGGTCTGCATTCTCGAACGCGATCGGACGCATGCACGGGTGGATGGACGGACGCTTCGCCCCACTAATCATCATTCACTACGCGAATAGGCTCTGGTTTTTTTTTTCTTGTGACCTGGCCCCATTCATAAACCACGCTGAGCGACGCCATATACTCTCGCATTCGTCAGATGAAAAATTAGTTATTTCATTTCAGGGCCTTCACTTGCCGAAACATTGTCCGTATACGTATGTCTTTGCACTAGCGGCTTGTAAATACTGAACTATGTCTAAAAAATGGAAACGATTTTTTTGTAGCGATTGGTGAAGTTTTAAACCATGCGATAAATGCACCTCCTTGCACTATTGGTAAACCTTCATTATATATTTTAGACATTGCTGTTTTATTTTACCATGTTTTAACGCTGGTTGCCTTCTTTTACGCCTGTATTGATCGCGTCATTATGAGAATGACACGCCACGTGAGATCTACGGAGAGACGAGAAGCCAGGCCCTTAATTTGCTACGCATTTAAAAGCTTTCAAAAACTAATTCGCACAATCGGCGTACGAGCCAGTCTCCTCCCTCAGAACCAAAACCCTCTTCGTTATCAAGAGAAGATCACTTTAAAGAGACAGGTGTTTACAGCTTATGCACGCCGCGCGGCATGCAAGTGCTAGTTCTTCCTCGGGGCTCCGCCGTGTTTGCACGGTGTTTAATAAGCTCTACAAACAGTCTTCAGTTCGTGCCCTACATGAACAGTGGCCGTATTGACAACAGTTACTCAGCCAACGCTGCTGAAAAGAATAAATGTGGACTGGTAAAACAGGGACGCGCTCGTCCTAATCTTTCACGTAAATAGAGGAGGCAGAAGGGCACGTTTAGCGATCGGCTCAAGGAATCGACATGTTCCAGCGAAATGATTGTTCGTCACTAAAGCAAAAAATGAATATGAAAGCGAATGAATAGTATCCGTCGTGGCGCGAGAGGCATTAGCCCTTCTAGGTTAACTCGCTCAAATGGCTGCTTAAGTAACAGAGACAACTGACAGTTGGGGTTGACTTGCCAAGGCGCCATGGGCGAACAGCCTTATTTGCCTCCGTAACGTTGTTGTAATGATAAACGAGTCTTATTATTATGCAGGTATTGTGGCACCAAGATTCTGAGCAGAAACCACTTTTATGAACTTTCGTGAAAGCTATCCTTCTACTACTGTTTTATTCCAAATATTCGCAAAGTTGTCGTGGTGTCGTCAAATATTCTAGACGCGACGTGATGATGCTAGCACGCGGTGTCCCAAAGCAAAGTGACAACTACAGGGTGCAAGCGCGGGCGGCGTGTCAGGGGCATAGCGTGTCTTGCAAAGTTTAAAGCTCAATAGCGTTCATAATATCTGGGCAGTAAGCTATGGAAACAAAGCTGGTGGCCCTCCTCTCCTGCTGTTCTTGCTTCTAACATTTACTTTCTTTCACCACAACTTGCCCTAATATACTATTCAGGTCTACTATACCTTTCCACTCCTCCTCGTTATCCTCGCTTGACTTTACAACCCTTCGCTATACTCCACGACACATGGTTATGCTATGCTCCCGCTCTTTCCCTCATCACCCTAGCATCTCTCCTGCACACCATCAATTCTCTTCCCCATCAGCTCGATAAATTTGGCTTTACAGGGCTAAGCGATGGATAAATTTCTCTCCTCCTCTCTGCCTTAGCTCACCTGAAGATTACTGCTCATCACCATGAAATTTCTTTCCCATACTTTTGCTATACCATACCTTGCACCTTACTTTCTTTTGCGTGCCCTGACATTGCGATTCCTGGCTTTCCCACTCTTAACATGGCTCCTCCTGGCTCAATGAGTTGTTGAAGGACGACAACGGAGTTCTGCCAATCTTAAATTACTCCGCTCTCATGAAAAATAAACAAGCAAGCAAGTTTACAGTAGTCCTCTTTGGTTTGCAAGAATTAAGAGCTGGGCTAATTGGTAGCCGTAAACTTGAACATTTTGAGAACAGCGTAACTATGACTGGGGATGGAAGCTTTGCTAGGTGGATGATCGTATACTTGACAATTTTGGGAACAGCTCTAAATGACGTCGACGAAAGCTGAGCTGGTTGGTGACCATAGTTGAGCATTTTTGAAACAGCACAATGACGAAGTGGACGAAAGCTGGGCTAGGTGGTGACCACTATGCTTGAACATTTTGGGAGCGGGGACACGACCTGGACGAAAGCTGGGCTGGTTGGTGACCATGGCTGAACTTTTTTGGAACATTGCAATATGACGTAGACGAAAGCTGGGCTAATTGGTGACCGTATACATGAACAGTTTGGGAGCAGAGACACGACATGGACGAAAGCTGGGCTGGTTGGTGACCGTAGCTGAACATTTTTCGAACAGTGCAAAGACGACGTGGACGAAGGTCCATGGGCTAGCTGGTGACCATATTCTTGAACAATTTGAGTGCTGGGACATGAAGTGGACAAAAGCTGGGCTATAGTTGGTGACCGTATACTTGAAAATTTTGGGACCAGCGCTACACGACGTGGATGAAATTTGGGCTAGTTGGTGAGCGTAGGTGACTATTTTTGGAACAGTGATATGACAACGTAGAATGAAAGCTGGGATATAGCTGGTGACTGTACCTGAACATTTTTGGAACAGCGTGATGACGACGTGGACGAAAGAGGAAAATGGGACAAACCACAGCGCTGGGGTATGTCCCTCGTTTCTATATCGTTCGCGTCGTCGTTGCACTGTTCCGAAAAGTTAAAGGGCTGTTTAATGTGCGCTTGAAATAGATTGCAGAGGAACCGTCTCGCGGTTATGTCACACCCCAAATATTGTCAGTTCATTGTAGTTTGAAGTATAAAGCACTCGTGGGAGGGAAACGTATCGCTTAGGTATGGGTAAGCTGATTACGCTGGAATAATGGTAGTAACCGCAAATAAATGTAAGCACGATGAAAGTAATTTCAAACAAAACTGGTAGAAACACGTGAACATCCTGCACTTGTTTACTTAGGAACGTGAACCTGTCAATATGTACGCAAACACGGGAGCATGTTTCCACGAGACTCGTCTCATTTCACTTTATTAAAAGCGGTAAACATGGAGACAGTTGCATGCAAAAGCACGGTGCGTAATATTGCAAGGAGCGTAATATTGCAAGGTAGTTGTAAAAGACGATGGTTTTCATTATAAATTATGTTTGTATACCGCAACCCCGCAGAGCTATAGCAGGAGTGGGAAGCCGTAGGTTCTGAAATGCCAGCAAAAAAGAATGCTTCACATCTGCTTGCAGAAGGGATAATTTATATGATCACCTTGCGAAACTCTAGGGCACGCGAAGAGGGGTCGTAAGCGGGAAACCTGATCCCTTTGCCATATTCTCCAGAGGCCTCGAAAGTTACAGTTAGAGAAGTTAGGTAGCATTAAGCCAGGAAACTTGGCACATGGTTAGACACTGCTAAACTGTGCGCGACGCAAAGAAACTTTATGAAGGCGAGAAGTGCATGTACCACACCTGCAAAGAATAACAACAGGTTGATGAGCTCCTTCCAAACTAATGTCGTAATGCTCTAATCGATGGCGGAATAATAATAAAGGCCGCAGCAGAAGAGAAATAAAATGAACAAAATCAGTTCACATGATCTTCGTTTAGTGTTGGGGTACGTACTTGAAATGTGGCAAGATCTTGCATAGACGGCGGTTCGACGAACTTGATCTGAGAAGTCAAAACAAAACAAATGATGGTGAGTCACTTGTATAGACCTTTCCACGGCAGTAACGCTGTACTTGGACGATATCTTGAACCATGCAGCATGTAAAATAGATAGATAGATAGATAGATAGATAGATAGATAGATAGATAGATAGATAGATAGATAGATAGATAGATAGATAGATAGATAGATAGATAGATAGATAGATAGATAGATAGACAGATAGATAGATCTATTAAAAAGTGCAAATTATTACAAATGAAAATTGGCAGATCCCTCGTACAGTGGGAAGTGATGATATGTGAAGTACGAATGAGAAAAGTTGATATATCACTTTAAAATTCAGCACTAACTGTTAGAAGGTGGTCTAGTGGCTAAGGTACTCGGCAGCTGACCCGCAGGTCGCGGGATCGAATCCTGGCTGCGGCGGCTGCATTTCCAATGGAGGCGGAAATGTTGTATGCCGGTGTGCTCAGATTTGAGTGCACGTTAAAAAACCCCAGGTGGTCGAAATTTCTGTAGCTATCCACTACGGCGTCTCACATAATTATATGGTGGTTTTGGGACGTCAAACCCCACATATCAATCAATCAATCAATGGAGGTAAATGATGCCGTACATGACTTTCATGTCATGATTATCATACTTGGATGTGTCCTTCACTTTCGTCATCTATTCACGTCACGCGATACCAGATTTAGTGTTCGTGGAGCTAGCGAAACGGTCGCGAGCATTGGTATGAGCGCGGTATGTTCTCGCGTTCCTACATGAGACGCGTGTCAGGATTATCATATTTGCACCAGTCATATATTTCATCATCTATTGACGTCACGTAACACCAATTTTGGTATATGTGGTAGGTAGCAAAACGGCCGCGAGCGCATCATGAATGGCCCATTATACTCCAATGTAGCGTTGACGCGCCCGCACGCTCGGCACAGCTGACGCTACGTTAGCAAAACGCGAGGACTCTATGGTCTGACGCCAGGCGCGACCAGCGTTTGTCGGCGCGGCCTGACAACAAACGGCGCGAATTACGACATGCTGCATTTCGCAGCGATGCGTTACGCAGAAAACACTGCATCTTCCTCTTTTCGTGACGGAGGGACGCCGGACGCACTGAAACACGCGTGCGTGAAAGCAACGCAGCGCTACGCGCACCTGCGAGTATGTGGCACTACCGGCGCCTGGTGAGGCAACGCCGGCGTGACGCAATGAAATATATTTGCGCTTTGACTGTGGCATGTAGTCATGTTTTCACATGACACGCATCTCATGATCATCATGTTTGCGCCAGTCACAAACCTTTGTCATCCATTGTCGTCAGATAATACCAAATTTGGCATATGAGATGCTAGTCGAACGGCCGCGAGCGCATCATCAGTGTGGCATGGAGTCATGTTGTTACATGACACGCATGTCGTGATTATCATGTTTGGATGTGTATTTACCTATGTCATCCATTCGCGTCGCGTAGCACCGAGTTTGGTACATGTGAAGCTAGCGAAACTGGCTGCCAGCGCATTATGAGCGTAGCATGTAGTCATGTTGTTACATGACACGCATCTCATGTTTTTTCATGTTTGCACCAGTACAATACCTTCGACATCCATTCACGTCCCGTAATACCCAATTTGGTATAAGAGAAGCTAGTGAAACGGCCGCCAGTGCGTCATGATCGTGGCATGTAGTCATGCTATTACACGACACGCATCTCCTGACTATCAAGTTTGCACCAGTCACATACCTTCGTCATCCATTCAGGTACTGTAATACCAAATTTGGTATATGTGACGCTAGCGAAACGGCCGCGAGTGCACCATGAGCGTGGCATGTAATCATGTTGTTACATGACATTCATGTCAAGATTTTCATGTTAAGGTCTATCGCTTGTGTTCGCCATGCAATCATGTCATACCATACCAGTTTTGCAACATATCCTGCGAATGAAACGACCGCAAGAGCAGCAAGACCATGACATGTAAGTCATGACATCTATGACATGTGACAATTTACATGTAATGACTAGACAATTATGTTTGTCGTACAGTCATGTTTTATCATACCAAGTTTGGTAGTGATACCATTATCCACACGGCCAGGAGAGCTAAAAGTCGTAGGCGGCTAGATAGATAGATAGATAGATAGATAGATAGATAGATAGATAGATAGATAGATAGATAGATAGATAGATAGATAGATAGATAGATAGATAGATAGATAGATAGATAGATAGATAGATAGATAGATAGATAGATAGATAGATAGATAGATAGATAGATAGATAGATAGATAGATAGATAGATAGATAGATAGATAGATAGATAGATAGATAGATAGATAGATACGCTCAAGATCTCTGAAGTTCGCTAAGAAATGCTTCGCATTTAAAGGCAACGAAGTAAACAGGTCACGGGTAGTGAGTAGTGAATGTTGTGAGTGAATATTGGTCTTTCAATCTTGATGCTTACTGACTCTTTACCCCCTACCCCCTTCTAAATGCGGAGCGTTTTATAGTCACGCCTACGCATACATCTGGCGTCGGCAGGTGTCTTCGACACCCCCACTGCACATGCTCGCGTCTCATGCTGCGTGCTTGCGTCTCGTGGCAATTTTGTCGCGTCTACTTGTACCTCTTTGCCGTAAGAAGCATGGTGTTATTGTTGTTGCAATGGTCAATATTGAAATTGTAATTAGAATACCGTTTTTACAAACTTCAGTAAGGATTAAGTAATCGCCTTTCTATACTCTCGCTAGTGCGTGAGCATTACTTTTATAGACGGTGACAAGCTAAGAATAAAAATAAATGTACCGCAGTGCAATTGTATTATGCGCGTCCATCTGCGGTCGCTCTTTGCTATGACGTAACAATCATGATGAACCAATGACAAATTCGGCATGGCGCCGTTCGCGACGAGAGGCGATGTGCCAATGCACCCGAGACCAGAAGGCGTCGATTTGGTTTTCCTTTGGTCTTCTCTTCATCAAGAAGCCTATTTTATCAACTCGCACTCAGCTTCATCCTTGCTGGCTGTCATTCAATGGCGATGTTTCTGATTTTGCAGTGCTTGAGGTGCACCGAAGTGGCAGAACTTCATCGCGTTCCGTCGTTTCGGCTGCGTGAAGCAGCAACTCGGCGTCTACTTCATCAGCGAATGCACCAAACATATCGCCTGAGGGTGACCACTCTTTGCGATCGTCGCCGCGATTTATTCGTGTGCAGTAGGGGAAAGTGAAGTCCGAATCGGTGCGTCTGTGTTTTATTGAATGTAAGCGACTGTTATTTATCGCCCGCAAAAGTCGTGGCATCAGGCTTGCCACACGTGCGTGTGTGAATGAATTACTCGGGTGTCGCAATGTGGCAACCTTGGTGATCTTACTGCGATATGCGCTGTGCTGTGCGGCCATATGAGTGATGCGAGTGCGGACAAGGCGTGAGAATAAAGGGTCCAACAGAACCTGCTACGTGACACAGTACGAAATTTACCAAACTAGGTGGGAAGGACATGCAATGTTTATATATATAAATAGAATTGTGGTCATCCGGTGGGCATCTGATTAATTTATGTGCCACGTTGAGTTATCTACTACGTGGCGTAAACGCTTGTATCACGCTCGATGCACCAACAACTCGCATGAAAAACACCAGTGCGAGGTTCTTCAAAATCAAAATGACGCACGCTATTTAATATTGCTACATCGATCGTTATCGGCGCAGCGATAACAATTAATTACAATCAGTTTCATCGATGATGATCGTTACAGAGGCGACACCGCTAAAACTATTATTGAGTGAAAAAAAAAGGAAATCTCACTTTTGAAGGTGTTGTACGACACCTAATGATATTTTATTAGGAAGGCTTTGTTTTTTTAATGTTTTTTTTTTGCATTTCGCCTGCATTAGTGTGCATGTATCACGTAGTAATAACTTCTTTATATTAAATTGGAATTGCCTGAAAGAAGTTAGAAAGATGCTTTGCACTCCCCTGTGAAAGCAAAGTCTGCCACGCAATTTACTCGCATTACTGCAGAAAGAAAACCCTATTGCCAGCACAGACACACCTTTGTACAGACACATTCATAAGGGGTAGGGGCCTTTGTTCCAGAAAGTGTCGCGTTTTGAAAACGTTGAACATTCAAGGGCTGACGGGGTCATGGCAAACCATCCAGTGCAAGTTGTCAAACCAAAAAAATTAGATAAGTTCACATACGGCTTTCAATCTGCGCCTGTTAGCCACGTGCATCACCTTGCATGCAAAGTTTCCCACTGGTAAACACAATGGTCACTACGCGCTTTTATTTAGTTGAAACAAGATGTAAATTGAAACAGTTGGCGTTAGCTTGAAACACGATGACAAGTACCGAAACACGAGACGCACATTCAGTATTTATGGCAGCCCAAGAACCAAAATTCACGCAGTCAATCTCAGACCACTTCTCCACTCTTTGCTTTGAGTCATAGTTGCCATAGTTACAGCAGATAGCGAAGAAACCTCGTAGTGAATGTTTCGTAAAACAACGTGAAATTCCGCAGATGACCATATAAGTTTTATTTAAGCCCCTGTATTTTTAAAGCACAAAAGAGGCTCCACAAAAAGCTCCCGTGAGCCGCGCACATCAGCTTTTTGCCAGCGTTTGCCGTTGGTGGCGCCCCTTTACAGGCCAACGCGGCAGCGCACGGGGCAGATAGGCACAGTTTCTCGTATAGCTCCATCACTCAAAAGCTCATCACTCAATCACATAAGTGACAGAGCAAGGGTAGCAATCTGGCTTACCAATGTCGGCACCACAATTGTGCACAAGCACCTCAAGATCATGCAAGTCTTCTTTGCATACGTGACACCTGTAAATTTATCAGTTTCGCTTGAAAAAAAAAAAACATGGCATCAATCGAGAAATAATGACGCTACCCTTATGAAGGCTCGTTCAAGCACGCAAAACGTATCGGCCTGCCACCATATATCTTGCAGTGCTGGCTATAACACCGTCGAATTTTACAGAA